ACTATATAACGGAACACGAGTAAGTTCAAAATTCTTTGTTTTATCAAAATATGGTGAATAGTCCTTTCCCTCAGATTCTGTTCCCGGTGGCTGTCAAACCCTGCTTTTGCGCCCAAAGTCGCATTCTTATGCTGATATCCAGGTGCTGTATTGTGTGCTAGTATTATTAGTTTTTTGTTCATAATGTTAATAGCTCATAAGCGCGCTGTGAGCGATGTGTGTCGCTTATAGTGTTTATGATATTTTTTGTTTATGTTCCATTAACGATGTACATCGTTATCATTTGTCACAATCTTAATAAAGAATGTCACAGAAAAATTGATAAATGTCCTACAGAGACCGTTCTCAACGCTCAAAGTAAGCCTTTCACCACTCTGGTGATAGCGGCAATCACCCAAAAATATGATATCTAGTTAATCCAACCAGGAAGCTTGCCTCCATATTCTGGAAAGGGGTTTTCAGAGCAACTGAAAGGAGACAAGCAGGTTAGTGGCCCTCCATATCCGCTTACAAAGCTCGCGGTGTTCAAGACTCGGATAGGCTCCAGCCCAGGCCAGCCAAGGTTGACTGAATGGTGCCGTGCTTCTTCGGGAGGGAAATACTAACTTGCGAGGCGACTGACCCCATAATTCTTTGATGAGGTTAAATGGAATGCGAATGCTGCGAATTAGTTTTTCAAATGCTAGAAGAATGCGGCGCTCCCAAGAACCAATCAAACAACAGCGAAAACTTGATCGCTCATCCTTCTGTACAATATAGGAAGAGGCGCTCTAAATGAGGGTTCCGATAGTAATCTTATCGAGGTACACCACGCACTTGCTCAATGCACACTTAAATGATGCATTTAGCGACCTCGCTCAGCATTTTCCAGCGAGGGTTTCATTCTCTATTAGTCTCACCAGGAAAGGTCAACAGGTCAGCCTGGCCATTTGCAATGAGATGCACATCACTGTACTCATCTTTACACGCTGAACTCAGAACTGCCTTCAGAATTTGCAGAACGATTCTCTGAGCGGAGTTATTGAGGTTTTTCTTTACTGTTTTTCTTCTTACGGGCGCGCTGGCGCCGAAGCGTTGGCACCGGTAGCGCGACTCACAGCGCTCTTCGCGCAAAATAGGTATCATATTCGTGTTCAGGGGGTCAAATAACCCCTAGGGACGTCACCTTAGCGAAATCTGAGCTTCTGACTCAACTTCGAAAAATGGGGTATGGATAGTCATGGCTAACTGATAGCTAACATCGATACTATGACTAGCATACTGGTGATGACTGGTCTTCGAACTGAAATAACTCTTCAGTCATGTGTTTGCAAACAGCAGTAGCTGGCTTACTTATATGTGCCGTCTGCAGCATTTTCTTGACTATCGGGAGGAAATCCCATTCCAAGATCAGTCATCGATGGTAGGTGAGCTCCAATCTGCTGCTAATTACCCATGGAATAGCCCACATTTTCCGAATGAGGTCGAAAAATTCCCTCGATTCGGCCAAAAACTTTCCCCAGGGGTATTCGACCCGCTGAACATAAATATGATGATATCACATTGCAAAAACTCTTGTGACACGTGTTACGAGGGGTACAAGCAGAAGCACTCTTTCAGGCCACAATGGGTCTACACTTTCAAAAAAAACTGATTGCAGGTTCCCTTATAGGGTAGTGCAGGCGAGCAGAGACTTAGAAGCTTTGTCGGCTATGTTCTTGGACAAATGCAAAAAAGGAACTTGCCCAGGAGCGATCCTACCACGTCTCGCCTAAGAAACCCGCTCCCTACCCGCTGCGCTCTGTTGCCACGTGTCAACCCGATTTCATACGTAAATGTAAAGACGCTTCAACGTTTCCTCGCGATAGCACGTGAAACGACCATGCGGGGATAAAACCCTTCATAACTCCGTTCAGAGAATCGTTCTGCAAATTTTGAAGACAGTTCTGTGTTCACCGTCCCAAGACGCGTACAATGGTGTGCAGCTCATTGGAAATGGCCGGGCTGACCTGTTGACCTTTCCTGGTCAGATGGGTAGCTTACTATATAGACAACAGTGTGACACAATCGCTCCCTCAATCTGGGAGTTGGTTATGAGCAGTCAAGCTGTGCAATTGCTTGAAAACTTGTCCCCTGTGTGTATGTGTCACGAGCGCTAAGCATTTCAGCTGCAGCTGGATATTGAATTTGCGCTCGCAAAATCAAACTGTACATCAAGGATGAATTTTTAGCGAACTCGAAATGAAGAGATTTGCTAATGTGCCACTAGTGCATCATAACAGACTCTGACGGCTCATAACTCGCTTGCAAAACCACCAAGGCACATCATTGGTTAGGGATTTGGGTTGAGGCCGATCCCTACCACAGATTTCATACTATTCGCGACCCCCTGTTGGGGAATTCTCAACTATGATGTGTCCTGTGGGTGAAGTCTAGTAAAAGTGGAGGTCCAATCCACTGTACAGTGGAAGGCAGATTGAATGGGAACTCTACACAGATCGTATGGGAGGAGTGAGGGCTGCCATTATGCTGTCCCATCAATAGTGCGTCCCTCCTTTCCTATACAGTTAAGAGTCCAAAGGTGCGTCATGGAGTTCGAGTAGGCCAGCATTTTCGCGTGAGTAAACCTCATTTGATTGCTCGATTACTCGAACAAAGGACTAGAAAACGTTATGTTTACAAGCACATGTCAAATGTGCAAAGAAGCACTGGAATAGCGCACATCGTAGACAAGCTAAGGCTCTCCCTAGATGTCGCCACAATGTCTGAAATAGCACGAGTTCACGGAAATGGCACGCGGTAATTCTGCTATTCATCAATACAATCTCTCCACCTCAACCTAATGAACCTAATGACCACGATTTCATCGAAGTGAAGCTTGTTGGTGGCAAACGTACAACTCTTACCGATGACTATAATCTCTCACCAATGTAGGCTCGGACATCTTCAACATCATCACGCGGATGCACCATGGTGGCCTTCCTCCTTCCAAGCTGTCGTATACCACACGCGTTAAGGCACAAGCTAATGTTGTGCAACACTGCGCATGCCAGCACAATTTTCGACGCTTGTTGAGGCCCCACCCTCAGTTCCGACGAGAGGATGGGGAAACGCGATTTCAGACGACCTATGGTCATCTCCACGATCGCCCGCATGCGACAATGTTCACGGTTATATCGCGTTTTCCTCGCGTCACCTCGAATGGCAGTGGGGCGGAATGGCGTAATTATTCCGCTACCGTTGGCGTACCTCCGAATCGCCAAAAAGGCGATAACCTCCTACAGTTCCTCCACTGTTGAACACTGCTGCAGGAGAGGAGTTACGCTAGAACAGGTAGCGTCGTGCACTGATCCTGGCGACCCACTGTTTTGACGTACAGGATTCGACCTGCAGCGTCTGCAATGATGCAGACGTTAAGGCAGGACGTTCCCTTCCTACGTACTAATACCCGTCAACAGCCGGTGTCCTAATACGGACCAGTGTGCCATCCACGGCTCCGATCACATCTGAATCAAATCGTATTATGGAAATTTTGAGCAGTGCTAATCCCCACTCTCTGGACATCTTTCCTGTCCTCGCGAACTCATTCGATCTCGCTTGGCATCACTGCTCATCCTCGGGTTAAAATTCAATAAACTGCTGGAGGACGTCAGGATGCAATAGTGCATCCACGACAGGCTTTATCATATTTAACACCGTCTTCTGACAGCAGCCCACGGTGTCACGTTACAAACTTGGAATGCAAATTGGTGCACAGGTATGCGAATACTCAGCCTTCACCTGGACCTGCAACAAACAACACCATCTGTTGTTTGTCGAGTGCGGCTGTAACATACAGTAGGAATCTGCACTCAGTTATGTGCCCATTGACTTTGTCCTCGCTACGCCAAGAACGGTCCCAAAAGCTCAGTGATCCAGTCTAGTTGGTCATCGGTGAACCGAAACTTCTGACGAATCAGAGACTGGTTCACCGAAAGGGTGCGTCTCAGTTGCTGGCGAATGTAGGTCACATTCTTCAAGCGACGACTTGTGCGATAGAAATGTAGTGGCATCTGAACCACCATCAGCAATCGTAATCTAATCCTTCAAGAAATGTTCATTCAAAATGCCATGCAAAACAGAAACAGCCCATTGATGTGCTTCGCGTGCCGTAGGAAGTGCGACCGCTATTACGTACAGACGGCATCCTTACTTCAGTTGATTTCACCAAGATAATCAAGTGCCATCACTGTTTGCCGTGTGCATTTCCATGCTTGTTATCCAGGACGCGCCACGTCGGCGGCGTGGGATACGAATGCGAAAACTTGATCGCTCATCCTTCTGTACAATATAGGAAGAGGCGCTCTAAATGAGGGTTCCGATAGTAATCTTATCGAGGTACATGCACACGCACTTGCTCAATGCACACTTAAATGATGCATTTAGCGACCTCGCTCAGCATTTTCCAGCGAGGGTTTCATTCTCTATTAGTCTCACCAGGAAAGGTCAACAGGTCAGCCTGGCCATTTGCAATGAGATGCACATCACTGTACTCATCTTTACACGCTGAACTCAGAACTGCCTTCAGAATTTGCAGAACGATTCTCTGAGCGGAGTTATTGAGGTTTTTCTTTACTGTTTTTCTTCTTACGGGCGCGCTGGCGCCGAAGCGTTGGCACCGGTAGCGCGACTCACAGCGCTCTTCGCGCAAATAGGTATCATATTCGTGTTCAGGGGGTCAAATAACCCCTAGGGACGTCACCTTAGCGAAATCTGAGCTTCTGACTCAACTTCGAAAAAATGGGGTATGGATAGTCATGGCTAACTGATAGCTAACATCGATACTATGACTAGCATACTGGTGATGACTGGTCTTCGAACTGAAATAACTCTTCAGTCATGTCTTTGCAAACAACAGTACCTGGCTTACTTATTTGTGCCGTCTGCATCATTTTCTTGACTATCGGGAGGAAATCCCATTCCGAGACCAGTCATCGATGGTAGGTGAGCTCCAATCTGCTGCTAATTACCCATGGAATAGCCCACATTTTCCGAATGAGGTCGAAAAATCAGATTCGGCCAGAAACTTGTCCCCAGGGGTAATTCGACCCGCTGAACATGAATATGATGATATTTCATTACAAAAACCCTTGTGACACGTGTTACGAGGGGTACAAGCAGAAGCACTCTTTCAGGCCACAATGAGTCTACACTTTCAAAAAAAACTGATCGCAGGTTCCCTTATAAGGTAGTGCAGGCGAGCAGAGATGTTAGAAGCTTTGTCGGCTATGTTCTTGGACAAATGCAAAAAGGAACCTGCCCCAGGAACCGATCCTACGACGTCTCGCCTAAGAAACCCGCTCCCTACCCGCTGCGCTCTGTTGCCACGTGTCAACCCGATTTCATACGTAAATGTAAAGACGCTTCAACGTTTCCTCGCGATAGCACGTGAAACGACCATGCGGGATAAAACCCTTCATAACTCCGTTCAGAGAATCGTTCTGCAAATTTTGAAGACAGTTCTGTGTTCACCGTCCCAAGACGCGTACAATGGTGTGATGTGTGCAGCTCATTGGAAATGGCCGGGCTGACCTGTTGACCTTTCCTGGTCAGATGGGTAGCTTACTATATAGACAACAGTGTGACACAATCGCTCCCTCAATCTGGGAGTTGGTTATGAGCAGTCAAGCTGTGCAATTGCTTGAAAACTTGTCCCCTGTGTGTATGTGTCACGAGCGCTAAGCATTTCAGCTGCAGCTGGATATTGAATTTGCGCTCGCAAAATCAAACTGTACATCAAGGATGAATTTTTAGCGAACTCGAAATGAAGAGATTTGCTAATGTGCCACTAGTGCATCATAACAGACTCTGACGGCTCATAACTCGCTTGCAAAACCACCAAGGCACATCATTGGTTAGGGATTTGGGTTGAGGCCGATCCCTACCACAGATTTCATACTATTCGCGACCCCCTGTTGGGGAATTCTCAACTATGATGTGTCCTGTGGGTGAAGTCTAGTAAAAGTGGAGGTCCAATCCACTGTACAGTGGAAGGCAGATTGAATGGGAACTCTACACAGATCGTATGGGAGGAGTGAGGGCTGCCATTATGCTGTCCCATCAATAGTGCGTCCCTCCTTTCCTATACAGTTAAGAGTCCAAAGGTGCGTCATGGAGTTCGAGTAGGCCAGCATTTTCGCGTGAGTAAACCTCATTTGATTGCTCGATTACTCGAACAAAGGACTAGAAAACGTTATGTTTACAAGCACATGTCAAATGTGCAAAGAAGCACTGGAATAGCGCACATCGTAGACAAGCTAAGGCTCTCCCTAGATGTCGCCACAATGTCTGAAATAGCACGAGTTCACGGAAATGGCACGCGGTAATTCTGCTATTCATCAATACAATCTCTCCACCTCAACCTAATGAACCTAATGACCACGATTTCATCGAAGTGAAGCTTGTTGGTGGCAAACGTACAACTCTTACCGATGACTATAATCTCTCACCAATGTAGGCTCGGACATCTTCAACATCATCACGCGGATGCACCATAGTAGCCTTCCTAACTTCCAAGCTGTCGCATACCACACGCGTTAAGGCACAAGCTCATGTTGTGCAACACTGTGAATGCCAACACAATTTTCGACGCTTGTTGAGGCCCCACCCTCAGTTCTGATCTGACCAGAGGATGAAGAACCGCGATTTCAGACGATCTATGGTCGTCTCCACGATCGCCCGCGTGCGACAATGCTCACGGTTTATCGCTTTTTCCTCGCGTCACCTCGGATGGCAGTGGGGCGGAGTTTGATTGGTTCTTGGGAGCGCCGCATTCTTCTAGCATTTGAAAAACTAATTCGCAGCATTCGCATTCCATTTAACCTCATCAAAGAATTATGGGGTCAGTCGCCTCGCAAGTTAGTATTTCCCTCCCGAAGAAGCACGGCACCATTCAGTCAACCTTGGCTGGCCTGGGCTGGAGCCTATCCGAGTCTTGAACACCGCGAGCTTTGTAAGCGGATATGGAGGGCCACTAACCTGCTTGTCTCCTTTCAGTTGCTCTGAAAACCCCTTTCCAGAATATGGAGGCAAGCTTCCTGGTTGGATTAACTAGATATCATATTTTTGGGTGATTGCCGCTATCACCAGAGTGGTGAAAGGCTTACTTTGAGCGTTGAGAACGGTCTCTGTAGGACATTTATCAATTTTTCTGTGACATTCTTTATTAAGATTGTGACAAATGATAACGATGTACATCGTTAATGGAACATAAACAAAAAAATATCATAAACACTATAAGCGACACACATCGCTCACAGCGCGCTTATGAGCTATTAACATTATGAACAAAAAACTAATAATACTAGCACACAATACAGCACCTGGATATCAGCATAAGAATGCGACTTTGGGCGCAAAAGCAGGGTTTGACAGCCACCGGGAACAGAATCTGAGGGAAAGGACTATTCACCATATTTTGATAAAACAAAGAATTTTGAACTTACTCGTGTTCCGTTATATAGTTCGCGTGCTATTTCGCTCACTTTAATCTCGTTTCTTCGCCGTGGACGCTCGGCTTTATGTTATTATCACATAATATAATTTCTTCAGCCATCGCGGGCACACGAGCAGCACAGTGATCCGATAAGTGACTACTTCAAGATGGTTTTCCATGTGTTTTGAACATATGCAAAATTCCTTCCCTAAGGGTTTCATGCATCATGGTCCGCTGACTTTCATGATTTCCTCGTACGCCAGCATTTGCATTAAACACATGTATGTCCAGGTGACAAACATGTTCTTACCACTCTACAATGAACCCAAAACGTCTGTTAACAACAACGACTTTCAACGAAACAGCTGCCCACCAGTAACATTTCCTTCTGCAGTTTTCTGATTTCAGCTTCGCTGACAAAGTGCGTTTTGGGAAGGTTGAGTTCCTCATCCGACGATGCTGCGCGCATTTCCTCGTCGACCCGTGGTACCTTGAGAGACGGAAAGGAGTGTGTAGGTTTATGACGGGAACAAGAAAGAATGCAGCTCTTCTGCAGGTCTACCTTTAGCCTCGCCCCCATCTTCATCTGCCATCATCTTTTCCGATGTCCTCGTCGGAATCCATGTCCAATCCTTCCACAGGTTTTCTATAACTTTCCATCACTCGCTCCCGGTTGCAGGCTGTTCTGCTGGAAAAATAGCGATATAAATCCATGTCCGAATCGTTCTGCTGCTTGCGCGCTTCTTCGAGCATTTTCTCCGAATCGCGGATTCTTCCCGTTCCAGTTTTGTCCACGTATCTGAGGTGATAATGTAAGAGCACTTTGCATTGTTATGATGGACAATTCAACTCACTTCTTCCTGGTAAGATCCGGAGTCATCACTTTTTTCTTCCTAATGCTGAAAAGGATTTTGACTTGTAGAGAGGTCAGCTTCAAAACGAACTTGTTCCATATGTGAGCGGCAATATGGCCTCACGTTTCGCTCCTCGTCATCTGTTCAAAACTTGCTTCATGATGAAGTGAGACACTACTGGAGCATTGGCTGTCATACTTCTTCGCTCCATTTCCTACAAGTCACGTTGATTTGGCGACAGTCCGAGTTATTAGTTATTTGACAATTTAAAAAGCAACGAGGGCCTCTTCCAGGAGGTTGTGGCTATTCCTCAGGACATATAGCCCGAACAGCCAAGGAATCCAAGAAGGAGGCTCTTATTTTGGTCACCGCAAGTTGTTCCTATATTCCAAGAAAAGAGGCTCAAAGTCACAGAAAACGGGCGACAGCAGCTTCCTCACGTGAACAGTTCCTTCAAGATGGACTAACAATTTGTAGTAATTGCCACATGTAAAATTTGAACACTTATCATAATCATTACTATAATCATGCTGAAGAATTGAAGGTATCACGCCTCGACGATTTCTCCCTCATCGATTGTGAACAGTACAATTATTATTTATCATTAACGAGATCATTAACGAAGCTTACGAAAAGACTCTGATGCAAAATGCTAGCCCTAATAATATGACCTTCAGAAACATTGTACGGTGGATGTCGAGACTTCACATTATGAGAAAGCTTTTCACGTTTGGCGTCGGTAAGAGACGGCCTAAAACACGAGCAGCATAAAAGTAACGCATACGAGGTGCATTTTTCAAAATAAGGTCACAATAAAAACGGCATGAAAATACAACTTTCATCAACCTAGGCCTCCCAGGCACTGGACGGCCCGTTCTATAGAATGTTTGGGGACTACACTCGATAGAAAGAAAATTTAAGATGTTTTTGAGACAATCACCGTCGTGAATCCCTCTAGTCACTGCGCTGGGGTGAGATAGTTCTGGAATATTCGAGATCACGACAGAATGGAGGAGTTCTGGAATATTCGAGATCACGACAGAATGGAGTCTCTCCTTTTCCTCGATTAACTGAGAGAATTCACTCTTTTCAACTGCCTGATTAA